ACTGGTGGTGTCGTTCTCGTGGAGCCTTTTCTGACGTGCTGTAATGGCATCGCGGTGTCTGCCTCCTCCGTTCAGAACTGGTAGCGACTCCGTTGCTCACTGGTATCTTGGCCGTCATTCGCCCGGTCTTCGTCAGCCGTTGTTATGCTTTTACGCTCCTCCCGCCGGCTGGCAGAGGCAATGAGCTGGTTGTGTGGCCGACTTTTTGCAGTCTGTCTCAGTCCCGCAGAAGTCTGCGCGTCTCTTGGTATCCCAGGCGACCACCAATCCGGCATAGTTTTCGATGACGTCAATAGTATGACAGTCAACTGGCTATGTTTACGGAGATTTCGCCACGGTCTCCAACCCTCCTCTTTTCTCATCTGGGCTTGGTTGAGGCATCGGTGGAGTTTTAGTTGGAGCTTTCGAAAACTTTTGCTTATTGGGTACAGTTATTACAACAATCTTTTTTCAAAAATAGCATTTTCTCCCTTGTTCGTTTATAGCGGATGCTGTGTGCCATGTTTCGGTTCCCAGGCTGTAAATAATTATGCAGCTGAGATGAAGATAATGGAAGCAGATCGGAGTGGAAAAAAGAGTTTTTCTTTTACATATCAGTAACTCAGAAATTAGAGTGAAAGAATTCCGAAGCTGAGATTGAAGCAGCCATAACTAATCAGAAATGTTCGATTTGTTCCAGTGGCTGTAGTCAATGAACATGGCCATAAATGACAGAAGAAGGGACAACAAGAGTTGCAGCAAAATCTTGAGCCCATGTTCATTTCGTTGTTAGTTCACAAAGGATACTGACTAATGTGTTAATGAACAGACTTCATTAAGAACTGAACGCTGTGCAGTCAAAGGAATTGGTATAATTGAGAAGTAGATTTAGCAGGATGGGTCATTTTTATATGCTGGAACAAATGAGTCAGAAAAAGAACTAATCTCAGCCTCCTCCCTCTCTGGGCTTCTTTGAGTCTCACTTTACGTGTATTCTCTACTGGATTCTTTGAGGAACTAGGGAATCGAAAGTGATACATAAAGAGGTTAATTATCGTTTTCGCTATTCACAGCAGTGCAGCTTTGGAGGAGGGTTTTAAGACAATAAATTTTGAAAATCAGGTTTGAAGATATATAAATGCTACAAATGATTTGCTAAAGACATTCTGATCATCACTACTCTCATTTTTCAACGTTTTCATCAGAAGAATTCCACAGCACATTCTATCAGCTGAACCGTGCCGGCAACAAGACAGGGTTAAGAATGAATCTGGAGAAGATTACACTGACGTTCAACAAGTACGTGAGCAGCTATGTTATTTAAGTCAGCGAGGTTAGGCCTGATGATGGGCCAAACTGTATGGTTATCATAACGTTCATGAAACGAAAGATATACTGTTCGAATTCAATGGAAGAGGAAAATGGCGTGAAGCACATTTAAAAGATTGAAAATGTTCTATCTGAGAAACAGCCCTTGTTTTTGAAACGAAAAGTGCCTAATAGCTTCGTCTTAACTACGAATTTCCTTGAACAAGGGATATAGTACACGTTGCTTCAAACTGCTTGCTCAGGCGGTAGAGGGTCAGACTGATAACCGGTAGAGGTCCCGGACTCTAGCTCTGTTCGGGTCATTCGCCATTCTTCCTTCTGCGGTTGCTAAACGAGTGCCGCTCTGTGGGTCGGAAACTAGAGAATACCCATTATATTTTTCACATAGTTACTATCAGCTCTACCTTTAAAATATAGTACTCCTTTCTGATAACATGCAATAGGTGATAAGCGTTTTTCCCACCAATAACTCCATGAAAGGAGAATGGGCTCCAGAACTGCACCATCATCAAAGTTTAAGGAAGATCGAATTTTTATCAGTTATAAATTGTCCTTTTTACATAAGGGAGGTGTTGAATCAGTCGTGTCCCCGAGTGTTCACAAACTATAAAGTATGTAACGCAACATCGAAAGGTATATTTTGGTAATAGCGAGAAATGGCCAAACGAAAGACATCTGCAATTTTATTTTAGCAATAAAGCTGAAACTGCAGTGAAGCGGACTTTGCACGAAGAATAGTCCATTGCTGAATCAAAGTGATATTAAACTAGGTTCTCAGGGGGCAGTAAATGATGCGTTAGAAAAGACCTGTTAAGAGATTAAATGGAGTAACGTGGATAAGAATCGAAAATGGAAGTTTGTTGTAAATTACTGAGCAAGCAGTAGTTTTGCAATGGATCGAAAAGGGCTGATGACCATGCCGATTTGAAACCTGTGTGTACCGTTCCTTTCACAGCATGCTGTTGACTCTGTCATTTCGTCATGTTTAGGGTCGCTGATAAATTGCTAAGGTAGGGATTCAGTGTAAAGCCCATTTTCCGAAATAGCAGTCTGCATATCTCGTTTTTGATCAGGTTAAGGCTGATGCAAAACGAGGAAACAACTGTTATGGCATGGGTAAAAATGTAAAAAGAACTATCTGAACTTGGTGCCGTCATTGCCCGTGAACAACAGAGGGAAAACAGCGATTTGGGACATCAGTGGAGTCGGCTATGCCAGTGATACAGACAGCTATCGTACGAATAACTGGAGTACGTTTTGTATAGTAGTGATGACCAATGAACTGAACTGAATTAAAATGACACGTTGCAAAGTCTGATCAAACCATCTGTGGCACTGAACTCTGAACCAAGGAGCAAGGATCCGAGCGCTTCGCACAGGTAAGCAACTGACAAATGCCTAAGCAAATCGAGTTTTTATTAGAACTTAAACTAGTGTTTAATTAGCGCAAGTAAAATCATGGCGCTTCACTTAAAACGCCGTTTGCTTTTGCCCACCACATTGGTCGTCCTCCTTGACGGTCATCATCGAAAACATGTAGATGGAATAACTGGTAAAACTAGTGGCTTCGCTAGGCGACAGGTTGTTTCTGAATGGGCCATCGATCGATCAAGGCAAAAAACATGGTCGTTAGACCCGAAGCTGTGATGAGGGACCGTCGACCGGAACCAAGGAGATAAATGAGTCCTCGGTCGATTGACCGGCATAAATGGTCATCTGAGACTTCGCTTATGCCAATTAATTTTCGCCTCATCTCCACTTCACAAACAAAAACAACAACCTAGTTCGAAGGAAAGTGGTTGACGAGGAGGCCGGTTTCGGCCAACAAGCTGACGATGACGTGGCCACCGTGAGTAATGCCAGAAAAAAATTAGCCCAGCCGTCACACGAGCCGGTTGGTCCTGTTTGTCACCGCGTC